CGGCCGCCGTCCAGCACCACGTGCGCACGCAGGCGGCAGGTGCGCAGGGCCGCGAAGAAGCCGCGCGCCTCCCCCGCCAGCGCCTCGTAGTCGCCGCCGCGCGCCGCGTCCAGGCCGCCCTCCAGCCACAGGCGGTGGTACAGGCTGCTGCCGTCGATGACGAGGCGCGCGTCGCGCAGGTGCAGCGCCGTGAAGAACTCGCCGTGTTCCTCCACGTAGCGCGTCAGCCCGGGGATGCCCATGGGTTGAGGGGGCGGCCGGGCTCGCACTGGGGGGCTGCGCGCAAACCGCGGGGGACACGGCCCTACTCGCGCACTGGTGCGCAAGTGCGAGGCTGTGACGTCAGCGAGCTCCGAGTAGGGAAGCGGGAGGAGCAGTTTGGTTTTGTCAGTCGCTGTCCCGACCCCGCCCGCGGAGCGCCCCGTCCTTCCGGCGGGTTCCCACCTGCCCCGGGCTCTATTTTCGGGGGGCGGGGGCGGGGGGCGCAGCAAAGGAGCCCGCTCGCAGGGCAGCGGAAGTTACCAGGGCTCGGACGCGCCGGGCTACGTCATGTGACCTTGGCTAGCTCCCACAGCAACGGCTTTCCCGCTTTCGTCGCGTGATCAGCCGGGCTGGCTTCCCAGTGGCTCGGCCCGAGCGTTCATTTCCCGTCGGGCTGCGCGCGGCGTTTCCTAGCAACGGAGCCCAAACACAGGGCGGGCGGGAGCCTTGACAGCCGGCTGGGCTGAGACCCCTCCCACTTCCCCACGGGGCCTCGCCGAGCCCGGGACGGGGCCGTGCCAGGTAAGTGGTCCGGGGAGGCTGGGGGTGATGCGTGTTAGTGGGAGCTCGGTTGTGGAGCAGGCGCCGAGGGACTGAAAGGTGAGACGCCCCTGTCCCATCTCCACACCCCTGCCTGTTTCTGGCTCCCTGGCTTGCCTGTACGAGGGGCACAGGCAGGGAAGGGTTAATCTGCCTGCCCAGGGCTGCTGCTCTTCTCCAGGCTGAGCCTGCCTAGAGAGCAGCACCAGTGGCCTTGGTGGCTATGCAGACAGGTTAACCCTCCCCTGCTTGTTCTCCCAGGACGGATGGCGCAGGCAGCCACTTGGTAAGCAGGGAGGAGGGGGGGTGCAGCAAGAAGGGGCTTGGGGGGGAGTAGGGGCCTTGATGTGGCCCAGTAGGAGGTGTGGCCCAGTGGGGTGTTTATACTAAGGTGTAGTCTAGAGCTGTGGTTCTCAACCTTTTTTGTATGAGGACCCATGGCCAGTCCTGACCCAATGCCCCTCAGTCCTGCTGTGCCCCACTCCCAGTGTGTGGGGCAGGGGGTGGGTGTGTGTGAGGCACGGGGGGCCCCAAGCAACCTCTTGCAAGCTGGAGGGGCTGGAACTCTGCCAGCCTACAACAGAAAGGCTACAGTTTCCCATGTTTTTCTCTTCTAAAGGAGAACCCATTTTTAAAGCTTGTCTACGACCCTTTCATATACTCTTGTGACCCACGCTTGGGTCATGACCCACAGGTTGAGAAATGCTGGTCTAGAGTGGCTACACTTTAGTGTACCACAAGCTGGGTAGCACAGATCAGGGATAATCTTGCCCTGGAATAGCTTAACTTTGAGCCACATAACAAGCACTTAAAACCAGTTTCAGGTGTTAAATGCTCCAGGAGCCACTCAAAATAACTGTGCAATAACGAGACGCTAAGTCACATAGGCACCCTGGGACTTTCATCCCAACAAAAGGAGGAAAAAATCTTGTAAGTAAGACTTGTAGGCCTCAAGCCCAAATAGGTTTAGTTGTTGGCAAGCCCTCAATTAGAGGATGACCCCTACCACAGCGCATGGATGGATCTCAAGGTTATTGAAGAGTCCAGTCCTTGAGCCATTTAAGTTGCAGGTCTTTCAGCAGTGGGAAGTAGGCTGCAGGCTGGGAGTCTTCTCTTTTTCCTCCTCCTACCCCCTCTTCTCTGCATTGAGGGCAAAACACTTTACCTCAAAATGGCTGTAGTGCCATCTCTTACTAAATCGATTTAGTAGGAACCTAAAAAAGGGGTGTCATGAATAAAAAGAGCGTGTATAAATAACAAAAGGTCAGCAAAGAAAGCTTGGTTGTGGAGGTCAGAAAGTGCAGGGGTAAAGTGAGATTTGCCACAATCAAAGTAAGTTCAGTCGTGAAAGAAATTAAAACAAACAATAAAAGTTTCTTTAACCATATAGCTAAGAAGAGAGCAAGGAAAGAAGAAATGGGATTGTTACATTATAAGTATAGGGTTCTATAGTAAAGATGGGGTGGAGAATAAAGGTGATCCATATACAGAGTGAAAACTAACTTTGTCTCCACCTTGAGGACACTGTAGAACACAGAATCAAAGTCTAATAGGAATGAGTGTGTAGAGGTAGAAATTATTCTAGCCAGGGGAAAGGCAATATTCAAAGAGTTTAGTGGACTCAGGCTGTGGGGACTTGTTAAGCTGTATCCCAAAGTACTGCAAGAACTAACATGAGAGACTGCAAGTATGGTAGCAAGAGCTTTTAATTAATCCCTCAAATTGTAGAAAGATTTATTATATGACTTGAGCATAGGAAAAAAAAGAAGCCTATGTTTAAGAAAAGAAAAATGATCTGGGCAATTGCAGAATCATTAATCTGATCTCAATAGTATTCAAGACTTCAGAATAAGTTTTGAAGGAAAGAATAATTAAATTCATAAATGGGACAGGCACCATGGGTTTACTGCAGGTAGATTATGCCAGCCTAATCTAATATCTTTAATAAGATAATTCACTCTTTCACAGGACAAAAGTCATGGAGCTAATGTCTTTGGACTTTAGTAAAACATTTGATGCAGTGTCATGTGGAAAATTACTAGTTGAAATGGAGAATATGGGGATCAGTACCAGAAATATATGGAGGATAAAATAGTAGAAAAAGGGAAGATGACAGTCAGTTGCACTGAAAAGGAAATTGAGTGGATTTTTTTCAGCGTGAAGCCAATTTTATTTGATACTTTCACTAAGGATCTTGGCACAAGTAGTAGAAGTATGCTAATGAAATGGCGATAATATAGAGTTAAGAAATATTATCAATACAGAGGAAGATCAGACTATTATGTGGGAAGAAATGAATGATGTTGAGGACTAGAGTAATAGAAACAGGATTAAATTTACTAGTGTAATATGCAAGGTGATATACCCTTAGGGACTTGTGCTATAAATGGGAAGCTTGTCAGTTGGAAATGAGAAAAAAAAGTAGAAAACCATGGGTATGTTAGTGGACAACAGATTGTGACTAAGCTGTTGATAGGATGCAATTGAAAAGGGCAAATATGACCAGGTCTGCACTGCAAACTTAACATGGCTGGCAGTGGTACCCTTAAGCACATGCTGCCTCTTGAACTGGAAGGGGATGGGCTGTTTTATGTCACTGTCACTAGTGGCGCCAGTGAAAGCATGGCTTATGGTGTTAGGAAGTATCAGATGAGGTCCAAGAACAAATGAGTTCCATAATAAGCTTAGGTTAGAAATTAGAATAAAATTCTGTACCATTACAGCAACGAGGTTCTGGAACAACCTTCCCACAGGTGTAATGAGGAGTAAGAAACTTAAATACATTTAAGATGGATCTTGATACATAAGTGAAGGGAATTTATATAGCATGATTATTGGAGTGGCTAACTCAGAAGTTCCTTTTCAGTCCTGTGTTCTTACTAGCAAAGCTTGGATACCTCAAGCCTTGGTGTAAAACGCTGATTAAGAGCCAATGGAATTTAAGCTTAGGGCTGAAATTATGTGCTGGATGCATATGTTCATTTTATCAAGTGCAGCACAAAAAGCATATTTTGTGGAGGGCAAATGATGGACAGAGGACTTGAGCCACCCTTCACATCTTCCTGATTCTGGGCAGTTGTGACTTGTGGATTGATTAGAATTGTTCAGGATGTCTGTGTACTGCCTTGCAGTATATTTTGGGCACTTCTTTCCCTCACCAAACTCTTACTGCCTCCGGTCCTGACAGCTGTGAGGGTGGAATTATAGGGGCACACATTCTGGCCCCATTCTTGCCTAGTGGAATTCCCTGAAGAGACATTTTACCTCTTCTTTGCCCTCTTACCTAGATCACCACAGGAAGGGCATTATAACGGCTTTAGGGTATGTCATGATCTGGCCTTTGTGCAGAATACACGGAAAGCGGTGATGACAGAAAGTCACAGTAGATTAAGCTGCTGATTGCATGCAAGCTTTGACTGTCTCATCTTTCTGTGTCACAACCTGAACAATATAACAATTATGAAGATTTCTGTGGCACTCAAGTAGTCTTTGCTAAAGTATATTCACGTAAAATATACTCGAGAAGCTGATTGTGATCTAGAAGTGATGTAGTGTAACTATGGACTGCCAGGTGCTGGTGGTTTACTAGTGCTTCTGGCTTCTCCCTGGCTCCCAGCTGTTTCTATGGGTGTTCTTTATGAAGGAAAGAGATACCTATGAAAGCAGAACTTTTTCATTTTAAAACAGTTTTTCATACATTAATTATTCATCAGCCCCAAGGGAGGCAGGTAAAGAAAAGATATTGGCTTAATTTTATAAATGGAGAAACAGAGGTAAAGCTTGTGACATACCCCATGACAAAAGAGAAGTTAGAGGTTTGTTTAAAACTTAGCTGTGTTGAAAACTTAGACTTGTCTTTTGTTCTGATCCCTAGACCATGCTTTTCTCAAAGAGGCTGTAGATACTAGCACACTATACTAAAGTACTTCGTAGGTGTCTTCCACAACATTTTTCATCTGTAGATTTCAAGGCACTCTACAAAGAAAGAATCTTTATTTTGATTTTACGCATGAGAAACCAAGCCACAGAGAAGTGGAGTGTCTTGTTTTAGGGCACCTAACAGGTGAGTAGCAGAGGTGGCAATGGAAGTACAATCATGTGTCCCAGTCCAGTAGCTAAAACTGTGTCATGAAAAATTGTGAAGCATTTAGAGAATAATGGTGGCTATGCAGTTACTTGAGAGAGAAACTGAGTTATGTTGTTGAATCTCGTGAGAGTTTCTGGGCTTTTCTCTGTCGTTCCTGTATGTTTGTTTATTATTTTTAAATATTCATCTTTTGCAAAAAATATTCCACGTAGGACTTTATTTTACAAAATAATAGCATAGAAACATTGACTTGTCAAGAGAGAAACTCACTGAAAATATGTAGATTTTATAGGGACAGAAATTTAGCATTTTACTTTTTTTTTTTTCTCTTTCTCCTGCCCACCTAAACAGTGTCCTTTCATGCTTTGTAAAACAGATTAGGAATTATACAAATAGTAGATTATTTAGCCATTGTACTTTGCTTACATTTTGCGTTACAAAACTAATTTTTTGTCATGGTTGGTATTTGAAGGAGGATATAGAATCAAAGGAATGTTCTTTTTAATGTTTTAACTTTTTAGAAGAAAAGATGGTACATCATTTGCACCATTATGAAAATAACTTACAGTAATTAGAAGTTGGCTGTGTTTCATACTATACTAACAATGCCAAGTTAAACCCACTGGCACAGAATATGCTAGCATTTCTGCAGATGGGTGTTTACAATAGGTTCATGCATGCAAAATATTGTTATAAAATACAGAATCATAATCCTTATTATGGTGCTGGAATGGCTAGATACGTGGCTGCAAGCAACAGTTTTCTGTATTATGCAGCCTTTAAAATTAAATATTCTTGTTTCACTTCACCCAGTAAATGACATTTTTATATACACAAAACACTTTGATGCTGCTGTTAATGAATTAAATGGTGGTTACCTTCCTGAAGACATTTTTTGGTTTCCTATGTGAAGTTATAATGCTAACAAGATATCATGTTAACTCTTTTCACTTCAGAGGATCCTGAAGGTCTTTATTATGGAAAAAAATATATGGCATTATGAACATTAATGATGCTTTAGAAATGGGAAGTGGAACATGGATCTTATCTCAAATAGTTTATAATCTGTAATTCTTGTTCTACAGTTGAAAATCACGTCAGCAGATGGGTGCTTTTTTAGTTATTAATTTGCAGAATTAGGGCTTAAAAAAGAAATACAAAAACAAATGAGTCTCAAGAAAGTGATTTAGAAGAGATTATTAGTGAGAAGAAGAAAGGGGAGAGAGGAAGGTTTCTTGAAAGAAGTGGATTTAAATATATTAACCTTAGCTGAACATAAATTAGCCTATTAATTTATCTGCCATTGCAATGGGAAGATATTGGCAGTGCTTTTGTCTGCCCTGTTTCTTGCTTGCAAGAAGCTGTAGGGTGTTTTTGGTTTTGTCTTTGTAATATGCTGTATGATTTTAGTGTGTTGAAAAGGATGGTTTTTAGGGTGTTTTGGATAGTTGTTATCTGTGGATGCAGGGGACTAGACTCAATTAGTGATGTGAAAGGTAAAGTGATTAATCATTTAACCAATAAGTGGAGTTAGCTTACCAGTTATCCTTAACTCCAGGTGGATGCAGTTTGGCAGGGAAGCTGGGGAGAGAAACTGCATGGTCCACAGCAGGAATCAGAAAGCAGCAAGGAGGGACAAGTGAGCAGAAGGGGAGGGGAGAGGAGGACTAGTATGGTCCTAGAGCTTCAGAGGACAACATCCAGCAGCCTAATGGCTCATCAGTTAAGTGATTAGCTGCTCCCTCACAGGTGCTCCCTGGCTGGGTTTAGATCTGCTGTGTTATCCATTAATTGCTTAACTGATACAATTAGAGGAGGGTAAACAAATATTTTTAAAATGTTATTTACATTTAGATCTTAGCAAGGCCTTTGATTCTGTTTCCCATGAGATTGTCTCATTTAAACTGGAGAGTGCTGGCCTAGACCAGTCCGCAATGAGGTGGGTTGGCAACTGACTCTCAGGCCAATCCCAGAGAGTTGTAACTGATGGGATGACTGCATCCTGGAGGGTCTTCTCCAGTGGTGTCCCCCAGGAATCAATGCTTGGGCCTGTGCTCTTTAAAATCTTTATCAATGACTTGGATGAGGGCTTGGAAAGTGCAATGGTTAAGTTTGTGGATGACACCAAGCTGTGGGGAAATGCAGGCGCATCAGAAGATGGGGATGGGTCATCAGGGAAATGATGCTAGTTCTGGAATGTGATGGCAATACTAGTAAGTTAAAGACAGGAAGTGAAGGACAATAGCATACCCATTTGAAACCTCAAGAGGGATTTTTGGTATGCAGCACACAATTATGTTTGTTCTTGAAAAACATATTATGTGATCTTTTTAACAACTGCATGAGTGAACATCTCTGTTTCATATCCCCCACTACCCTGTTTTGCCGAGGCATTTATTTTGTACAGCCGCAGAGAGATCCCCACCTATTAAACTGACAGTGCACCTTTTGTACTATCTTTAAAGTTTCAACTTAAAATCTACCACCCAAGCCTTAATGTGCAGTGAGCCTATTTAACTTGTTTTAAGTGGCAAGTTGACACTTTTGGGTATATATTACAATTAACAGCTTGAATATTTAAGTGTTTTTGTGGGTTTCTTTGGCCTAGGTGTTTTCTTTTGAATATCACTGGAATCACAGGAGCATTATTAAGGAGACCTGAATTTGGAAGATACTTTTAAATGTAATCTCTCTTACATGGAGCCATGCTGAAATTCCAAGAAGCTGTTCAGCGTGTCAGTGTTTCCAGATCTATTTCCACCTTCTCAGATACCTTGATTGCCAGAAGGTACATTCTTCAGAAGAAGCTTGGCAGTGGAAGTTTTGGAAAAATCTATCTGGTTTTAGACAAGAAGGCAAAACAAGGAGAAGAGTTGTAAGTATGGATTAGAAAAAAATGAGTTTTTAATGCATTTATTAAAAATTGGACCACAATTCTTTTCTAATTGTCTTATTTTTTTGTTTTATTTTTGTTTTCACCATTACCTCATTACTAAGAAAACCAAATTCAGAGGTATTCCCCGCCCCCTTCCTCCTCCAGCCTTATTGATAATTATAAATAAGTTTAGCCTTAACACTGAACTGAGCACTTGAGTTTGGTACTTTACTGCTTACAGGTCTTTGGTCAGTGTATTTTATAGTCTTCAAACTCAAGTCATTTTTAATTTAGATGCCCTCATCTCCATATCCAAGTGCTTCCTAAATTCAAAGTATTTAAGTGCCTTCCAGATACTAGAAGAGATTATATCTACTGAATTGCTAAAATTTAAAAATGCCCAGGGTTAAAGTGACAAGAAACTATTTACCACTTACTTAACATATAAGCTTTTTTTCAAGCTATATATGAGTTTGTGGTAACTGCACAGGGGAGTATTTTGCCTTTCTGACCAACATGATTTTGAGCCATTCTGAGAAGAAATGACAAGGAGTATTAACAGGGGTGTAAGTTGTAGCAGTGTTGGTCTAAGGACACAGGCAGACGAGGTTCTTTGGGTGAATCTGATATCTTTTATTAGACCAACTTAAATAGTTGGAAAGCAATTATTAAGCAAGCTTTCAGGTTCAAAAACCCTTCATCAGGTTAAGGAAGTTTCAGCAGTTGGCATGTGCTCTTCCTGGATGGAATGAAAAGTAAAGAAGCCAGAGGCTGGGCTGGTATGCATACAAGACAGGTAGTCAGTGAAAATGTAGATTGAGGAAACAATGGGTGACAGAGAGGCTGGGGGTGGGGAAGAGAGAGAAGGGGGATGAATAGTGGAGAGATACCTAGGGAGTCAGATGTCAGGCAGGTTATAATGTGTCATAAATCCAATGTTTATATTTAGTCCACGATTTTTAGTATCGAGGAGGTTGATGAAGTGGAGTTCATAGGATCGTCTCTGGGAAGTGTTTGGTAAGTTTCAGGATCAGTCCTCAAAGGAAACTTACCAAACACTTCCCAGAGACGAGCCTATGAACTCCACAAGGCCAATCACACCTTGTCATGTATTAGCAGATGTGGGACCAACAGATGAAGGGAGGTGATGCTCCCCCTCTGTGCCGCATTGGTCAGGCCACAGTTGGAGTACTGTGTCCAGTTTTTGGCGCCACACTTCAAGATAGACATGGAGAATCTGGAGAGGGTTCACAGGAGGGCCACTCGCATGATTAGTGGCCTCTGTGAAAGACCCTACGAGGGGATGTTGAGTGATCTGGATCTCTTCAGCCTTTACAAGAGACGGCTGAGGGGGTGACCTTGTAGCTGCCTGTAAGTTTATCAAGGGAGGACAGCAGGGAATTGGTTATGCGCTATTTACCAGAGCACCCCAGGGAGTAACTAGGAATAATGGATGCAAACTAGTGGAGAGTAGATTTAGGTTAGACATTAGGAAGAAATTTTTACAGTAAGGGTGGCCAGAATCTGGAATGGGATTCCAAGAGAGGTGGTACTATCATCTAACTTGGAGGTCTTCAAGAGGAGGCTTGACAGTTACCTGGCTGGGGTCATCTGACCTCAGTTCTCTTTCCTGCCGGGGCAGGGGATCAGACACAATGATCCGTTGTGCTCCCTTCCAACACTATAATCTATGAGGGATGACGTTGGCAGCAGCCTGGCCATGGTGGCACAGCAGAGCTACAGCCTGGTGTGCAAGCGGCTGGTGGCAGGAGGAGACAAGGGCAGTGCAGTCCCCCTGGTCCATTACTCCCTTGTGCTGCTGGGAGTGCAGCTGGCATGGGGGTCCTGGCAGCGACAGCAGCAACAATGAATCTTGTCACTCCACTCTGCCCTCTTGTGCTGGGTCCTGTCCACTGGGCCACAAAGGTGGCTTTTGCCTGTTCCAGTCCAGCCACACTGCAGCTTCATGCCTCCTGTGGGTGCAGAGATCTGTTTGGGCATGTTCCTCCCTGCCCCCCCATGGCTGTCCGATGCATCACCTGTGCCCCTTCCCCCCCACCCTGCTGCATTGCCTATGCCCTCCCATCGACTTACCTGTGGGGAGCTGTGGGAACTGCTGTCTGCCATGTGCATGTCATGCACTCTGCCTGATTGCCTTCCTCCTATTCCACCCAGTCCCAAATAGCCCCTTGCAGGCTCCGACTCTGCCGGCCTGCAAGGGGAAACCCACAGTTTCTCATGTTTTTCTCCTTTAAAAGAGAAAATCTGTGTGTTTCTGTGGCAAATGGCAAACCCAGATCCCTGCTGATCAAGCACTCCTGAATCAGTTAGGAGTTTTGCCTTTGACTTTTGTGTGCACAGAAATCACACAATGTATTTAGACATCTGTTTTGTTGTATTTTATTTCTATTTATACTTGGACATAAAAAAATGTGTTCTCTCTTTCCAATTCAAGTATGTTATAATTGTATGTAAATAATAAATAAAAATTTAAGGAGCTAATGTTCTGAGGATTTAAGTTACAACTGGCAACTGGGCTAGCGTGGGCGCTAAGGTGCACGGTTGGTGGCTTAGAGGCCACAGCAGAAGCACTCATGGTGCAGCCCTGTCAGATTCCAGCAAATTTGTGATTTCTGCTAAATACCTTGTTACAAGGGCATGAAAAAGGAAAGTAAGCTGCAACTTAGTATGTTGTTTGTCTCAGTGTTTTGCTGTAAAACTGTACATTCATGATGTGATTATTTAATAAATATACGTAGCAGAGACTGTTGTTTCTCTTTCTATTGTCCTCACCTGTGTGCTTTTGTCAATATGCTTTGTGTTTCTGGTAAGTTCATCTATAGTTGGCAGCAAAAATTTCAATGACATGAAATGTGCCCTTTTTAAAAAAATCAAAAATGTTTTGCATACTCTTTTTTTCCCCTTTAAGAAATACTGTGGTTAGCTTATTGTAATGAAGAATAGATTTTATTTGCAGCTGTTATGATGTATACCAAGTGTTGGGACCTTTTAGACATTACAGTTAAAGCTGTGTTAAATGGCATTTTACTAACCAGAATACTCTAGTAACTGGAAGTTCCCCAGTCCCGCACTGCCCAGGGGGGCCTGGAGGTGGGAACCAAAGTGGGGCCAGCTGCAGCTGCACTGCTGGGCCGGAGGAGCTAGAGCCCCTGGGACCCCCATGCCTGCCCTGCCAGGTCCTGCACAGCTGGGGTGGGGCGGGGCACGGGCCGGAGCCACGGCTCCTCTGGCGGGGTATGGGAAGGGGTGGCGGCACCCACCGCTACACATGTCCTGGTTATTCAGATAGCTGGAATTTATAGATAACAGGCAACCCCTTACCCCACTCATGCTGGATGACAAAGCTTTTACTGTACTATGCTGTCATGAGCTAAATGCTGGCATTGAGACTAGAATTTGGGGCAACACACAGAGCTGAAAGTCTTAATCGGTTCTTGTATTTGCTGCTGTATACTTGCTGCATAAGCAGCAAATAACCTGCAGCACAGTTGTTATTGATATTTTTTTATAAACATTTCTTTAAGAAATACATCAATTACTTAAAGGGATCTTCAACTGACTGCAGTATTCTTTGCTTGTTCTTTGTAAAGGACAGAGCTGGATATAGTTACACTAACAAGATTGTATAAGATAAATTAGTCATTAAATCCTCTGTTTTTATTTTTTGTTTCTTTTTTAACTCCTTATTTTGACTTATAGGATTTAGCAATTAAGAAAGTTACTGCTTTTAGCAGCCTTTATTACATGGTTCTGCAATTCACTCTTGTACCACATGGAGGCATAAGAGTACTGCGGTTGTTCTCCTTAACCACAGCCGAACTCTTGTTAATAGTGGACTCATTTAACTGCCCATCGTTTCATTATACAAGAGATGAAAAAATATTTAGCACTGCTATAAATTTCTCCTGTTGCATATAAATGCTAACATGAAAGTTCAAATGATATTTCAGGGTAGAATTTAGTTATTTAAGATTGTGTCCTTTTTCAGGGTTATTTCATACAGTAGTTTTATGTATAACCACCATATAGGTGAGTGGGTATATACACACACATACACAACCCACATATATTTGTATTGTGAGCGTGTGTATGTTTATATAATTTTGGAGATTAAAAGACTCAGTTTTTTTGATCCATCAATGCTCTTGAAGCACCACTAAACTTGTTGAAATGACTGGCAAACAAAATAGATTTATTTTTCTTTGTGCATTTCATTAAAAAGAAAAATCCCCAAATGACCTGAGTGGAATGCAACAGATACAGTATATGGTACACTAAGTGATTTCTTTTCCAGTTTGAAAGTAGCATTGAGAATTTGTCATTCTCTTTTTTTCTCTCGCACCTGTCACTGGAGTTCGAGCATGCAAGTCCTCCAGTGGACAGTGCCTGCCTTCCAGACATAGTGGGCACTTCAGGGGGTGGTCTGCAGTGTTGAGGATGACCATTTAGTCCTTGTGCTGTGATACTGCTAGTCCTTTCCCAGGGTAGAGGCAGGGGTTTCAGCAGGCTGATGTATTGGATTTTTTATTTTTCAACTGTGAGGGCAGGCCTTGTGGGCCAAAGGCCCAGGCTCTGTCTGTTGTACCTGGGTCCCTGCATGGGCAGTGTTTTATTAGTTTGTTGGATTGTTACCCCCTTTCTCCTTAATAAACTTATAAAAAGTAGTCTGTCTGTCAGTCAGAGGCCACCTACTTGGTTTCCTTCCCATACTGGGTGGCCAATTTGGGTATCATCTGCTTGGCCAACTTCTTACTTGGCTAGGCTAAGATGGCCACCCTCAAGAGCTGCAGGAACCATCTTGCCGGGGCTGGCTTAGCTGACACCCTGCAGCTCTTCCAGTTTTTGGTATGGACATGCCTGTCGCTGGAGCTTGAGTAGGCTGTCCTCCAGCAGATGGTTCCCACTTGCCAGGAAAGTTGGGCAATTCAGGGGGTGCTCTGCAGTGCCAAGGGTGGCCGTTTAGTCTTGCACTGTGATAC